CCGAGTGGCCTCGGAGGCTGGCAAGGGCCAGAAGGGGTTTGGGGGAGCTACGGAGCTGGGAGTAGCATGCGGGGAGCCGGACTCCCCAGCACCCTCTCAGTGCCCTCCCTCCCCATTCCCTACCGTGGCGGAGACTCTGGGAGAAAGCTGAAGGCTCGAGCTCAGGGCATGTGGACATCCTGGAGAGAGGGTCTCAGTTAAGTCAGGGGCGCCAGTAGGAGAGCCCGTGGCCGCTCCAGCAGCTACTTATCCGCCATGATTTAGTTTAGGGAGGGCTGCATAAGAATCAAGTAGCTTGACTGTGGGGGCTTGGTCCAGGACTCAGGCCTCCACCAGGCACAGAAGGCTATGTCGCCCACCTCCCCAGGGAAACACAGATCCAGCCCCCAGTCTTCCCCTGGGCCTATTCCTGTGTGCGCACCGAGGCCCTACCCCTGCCTCACAGAGAGGCAGCCTCTGGCAGGGAGAGCCAGGGCTGCAACTGGGACCCACCGGAAACAGGGCATTAAAAAGGGGCCTTCTCTCCTGAGGGCACACCAACTGTAAGCATCAGACTTCCAGCTGTGCACTGGGGAAGGGACAAAGCCCTGAACAGGAGATAGGAGGTTGGGTCATACTGCAGTGGCATGACCATGGACAAGATCCCTAACACTCTCTGGGTCTCAGTTTCTCTCTGTGTGGGAACCAAGGAGAAGACGATTCAGATGATCCAAAAGTCAATGCATGCTCACTCCCCGTTGGGGGAGAGGGAAAGTCCTGTGTCCTGAGGAGAGTGGCTGTGTAGCTTCTGTATTCAGGGACTCAATCTCCACTTTCACCCATCTCAAAGACGCTGTGGTTCTAGGAAACCCCACCCCACCACCACCAATTAATTTGTTTGAGCCTTTGATTGAAATGAAGATACCGTACAAAGTGCTGAGGACAGAATGCTAGAACTAGACACCAGGAAACCAGAATTATTCCCTGTGTTTCACACACATGTCCCAGGGCCCAGCTAGCTGCTGTCAGGGTTGGCCCTGACCCAGGTTGGTGTGACAACACTGGCCTGGGCTAGGAGCTCAGTTCCCACTTCAGGCTGCTCCAGATCCCACGTCCATCGGCAGGTGTCTCTCGAGAAGGTGTCGGCCACAGTGAGTCACGGCATAGCCAAAGGGTGACGCAGCACAAGGCACTCCCCTCCCCCTCCTGCCCCACTCTCTTGTGAGCACAGTTAATCCCCAAGCTGGTGTTTCTTGGCACCTTCGAGGTGTATTTTAAATTCTGTGAAGTGACTAAAAATATGCTTCGTCGTGTTGGGTATGAATGACTGTGACGGGAGGGTTAGGAAAACAGATTTCATTCTGAAAGTTGCCTTGCTGCCTCTTTGCAGCTTGCTGGGTGCAGGCCTGCAAAGCTAGATGGGGGAAGTTCCACTGGGTGGCCCAGGATGACAGGTGATTAACAGGTGAGAACAGACCTAGGAGCTCCATAGGGATGGGACTGAGCTCTGGCAATGACCTTCATAACTGTGTGATGGTGCCAGCTAGAGGACAGTGCCCAGCTGTGGGATGCAGCCAGCTGTGAAGGAGGCGCAACCATGGCACTAAGGCCAAGACAGTATAAGGAACTGTCCCCTTCCCACTCCCCAAATTCCTCATCCTTTCAGCCACAGCCCTGCACAGGGAGGCAGTTTTAGCCCTAGACCAGAAAGGGAAGCACTCCCTTTTCACAGCACTGCCTTTCCACCACTGGCTAGGCTCCAAAACAGGGGAAGATGACAGAGTTTTGAGCCTTTTAAATTTGGGGGACCTCTGAGCTGCCACCAAACAAGTCAGTCATTCCCACTCTGTGGGTTTTTCTGGGATTTTAGTTCAAAGGCACTCTCTAGAGTGGGTCCTTGAGTGGGATAAGGGGCCACCAAGGGCAGAGTGGTAGGGAGGACAATAAGCCCCTTTGAGTTGTGTGGCCCTGGGCAAGTCACCGTGGCCTCCTGAGAGCCTCAGCTAGCATCATGGGACCATCAGCTATAGAACTTGTAGGTTCTTATGTCCATCTCACCAATAAAGAAACTGAGACCCAGGGAAGAGAAGTAATCTGCCTAAGGTCACATAACTAGTAAATGCCAGGGCTTGCACTAAACCCAGGTATGTCTGCCCCCTAATCCAGTGTCTCCCCTACTGCTCCACAACGCTGCTTCTCCAGGCCAGAGCTTCCTCACCAACAGAACGGAGGCTGATCTCAACAATGGCTAAAGAGCCTCCTAATACTCACTAAGACCAGACCATAATTTCAAAACCAGTGGGACACAGGACATTAGTGGCCAGTGTTCCAAGGGCATACTGGGGAAATGGTGGGGATAAACATAAATAAATAGGTTTCCTTACTGAGGAACGTATCCAGGCCTTTAACCTGAGACTGTACATTGGGAATCTCCCACAGAGAGGTATAGGCTGCCGTCTCCCCATGTGTACTTGACCACTGAACATCTTGTAAGGGGACTACAGCTTTGCAGAACACACTCTGGGAAACACTGGCTCCTCCATGGCTGCTAACTGGGAGCTCAGTCCACCTCCCCTCTGCCCATCCCCCCACCACAGGAGCATCTCCAGGGCGCAGCCTCAGTCTCCCCTCTTCTCACGTGGCACACTCTCTTGGCAGCCTCTCACCCATGCTTGGGCTTTCAACAATCATCCACATGCCCAGGATACCCAGCCTTCATCTCTAGATGTGGCCTCATCTCAAGGGTCCGAATGCAGTCTCCTACACACTCCCCCTAGATATTCCCCAGCACTTAAACTCAGCACACCCAAGACTGAACTCATCCTCTTTCCCCTCAACCTGCTCCCACCCGGTATCCATTACCTCTTGACAAATAGCAGCAGCATCCACATTGTCCCCAAATGGAAATCTGGGAGCCATTTGGGATTCCTTCCCCACTTCTATGGCCTGTCCATTTTTTCTCTTTAATATCTCCCCATTGCTCACAGACTTAGCTCAAATTTCTCCATGTCTCACTTCAATCCTTTTAAAACTCAACACCGCCTACTCCAACATACCCCTCTGGTTTTTTCTCCATATTACTTGCCAGTAATTTTTCTAAGTCACACATGTGACCCCATCACCAACTTGCACACAACCTTTCCATGGCTCCCCACTGCCTATAGGATTAAAAATATCTAAATTGCTTAACATGATCTCCATGACCCTTTATAACCCTTCATGACCCATGCCAATCTCCAGCCTCAGATCCCACTGCCTGTCTCTCAAAATTACACTCTACCACACTGAAAATGAAGCTTCCTGAACTCACTCACAGTTACTATACTTCCTGGAGCCTAGAGGAGTGGCTGGAATTGGGGGTGTTTATCTATAGTCCCCCCTCTCCCCTTGACACAAAAGCCCTTGTCCTATTAACACAATGATGATTCAGGACCACGGAGAGCGTCACCTGGGCATCCCCCTCCCCTGGCTTTTCAGTCCTGCACTGTCTATGCTGTCTACCTAGCGCACTCCTCCCACTTATGCTTCAGAGACCCAGCACAGACATGACTTCCTTCAGGAAGCCCTCCCTGACCCACCTGAACAACTGTCATTTCCTCCTCTGGGCTCCTTAACTAACCTGGGTATCCCTCCATCACACCAAACTCACTGTGCTAATTACACTTGTACATGAGCCCACCACTCCCCCCTCCACGAGCCCCACAACAGACCATGAGCCTGGAGGGCCTATACCCTGTCTGATTCATCCCCGCAGTCCAGGACAGAGGAGGTGCTCAGAGAATGTTTGTTGATTGAATGAGTAAATGACACTTAGCAGGTGCTCAGGAAATATGTGCTGATTTGCATCATGTATCTGCTGCTCTGTGTGACTCAGAAGCCAGCCAAATTCCTCTCCTAGCCTCTCTGGAAAAGGCATCTTCTCCCTGATTGGCTCCACCCTCTACTAGCTTCCCTGTGCCATTTGAGTACCTTCTCCACAGGTCACCACCCACAGGTGGGAGAGGGCATCTTCGTTCTGCTCCTGCTGTTGCTAAGCCAGGGACTTGTCAGAGCCCCTCCATTCCCCAGCCTGGGCCTGCCTCATAAGCTCTGCTCAGAACGCTTCGTCTCTGCCTCCCTCTCCAGCTCTGAACAGATGGCTCTGAGTCCCCACAAATACAGAAGTTCCTGTTCTGTCATTTGAATATTTTTAATGCTTTCTGAATTATAGAAGCTGGACTCAGACTATCAGAAATGAAGACTCCCTTAAAGGACATTGAGTCTGGCCTCTTCCCTGTCCCATGGAGAGGCTGCATCTGAGTGGCCTGCCCAATATCATTGTAATGGACACTGTCTTTGGTTCTGTGTGTCTTTTGGTCTTTTTTTTTCTTTCATTGCTGTTTTATTTTGATGCTCAGTGTCCATTCCCCTTCATAATTGCACCCTAGTTTCCTGGTCTTAATGGAGCTATAAATCAAGGGATGGGCATAGGATCCAACTGGGCTCTCTCATCCAGGGCTTTAAATCTTGAGTAGAGTGGGAAAAGAATAGGGAAAAATTGCCTGGAGCTCTGGCGAGGGCCCCCCAGTAAGATGACTCAGGAGCCCTGGCTCCTGAATCTCCCATCTTCCCATAGATTTTGTGAGCTCCTGGTTTGCTTCAACAAATCTCTTTCTTAAGACATCAGTCAGCTTCCATTGCACACAACCCTACAACCTTAACCAGTGCGGTCTCACAGAAGGAGCACATGGAGTCATTCACCTCCCTGTGTTGGATAAAGCTTGGCTCCAACAACCTCTGGTGCCTCCAGCAGCTGCGTTGAACCAAACAAGCTCACAAGCCCATCCAGGCATGGAGGAAAGAAGACACTTCAGGGAAGGAAACAGACAGACTGATGTCTGGTGTTGCAGAGGGACAAGCCAGGATTGAGGGGTGATCCCCCTGATGCATGTGCTCAACCCTCCAAGCCTGAGGTCAGGGTGGAAGAAGAGTGTTATCACCAGTACCCTAGAAACACATCCTCAAATGAGACGCCCAGGCACACACACACTGACAGGAACACCTGCATACTGGGATGACACCTGGGAGCTGGAATGCAGCATGTGTCCAGGAAGAGCAATTAACACAGAAAGCGAGCAGGTCAGGCTTGAGGGCCTCGTCCTGCTCAACAGCATGTTCCCCCGTCAACATTCCCAACAAGTGAGTCTAGCGTACCAGGGACTGGGACCACTCAGCAAGTGACCTTTTGGCCAGAAAAGTTTGTGTTCTACTGACCACTCCTCCTGCCTAGCCTGAATGGCCAGGCTCTCATAGACCTACGCCTGTGAACTCAGCCTGGTGAGGTCTGAGGGCCCAGCCCCAGACAGGAAGAGGGTGGGGAGCTGAGTATAGCTGGGGCTTGGGTTGGTTGCAGAACAGATACTGGGCTCTCCCTCCCAGAGTCCACCAGTCTCGGAGCTCCCACCCTGCCTCCAAACCTCCTATAAACTCCTGGCAGGGCTTTCTGTCTAGCTCAGTCTCAGAAAGCACCACCCTGCCCTGCCTGGCAACCCAAACCTCAGAGTGCGCTTGAGTCAGATGGGACTACCCTGATCACAGGATCCGGCCCCATCTGAAGCCCTCCAGCCCCAGGCAGTCTCTCCTGCCTCCTCTCCCTCCCCCAGAACACATAACCCCTGCCTCTCCGACCAACCACACCCCTCCATGATTCATCACCAGTATCTTCTGTCTCAGCCCCCTGCACCTTTGACCGATCCCTCCACCAGGAATTCCCTTCCCCACACCTTCTCTGGCTATTTACCAGCTCTTAGGCCACGTCCTCAAAGCTTCTGAGGGATGTAGGCCCCCCTTCTGCCCACAGATGTGCCTCCCTTGGCCTTGCAGAGTGTCTCCCTATTTTTTCTAGGGCTGTGAGGTCCAGGGCAGGGTTGGAGTCAGATTCACTGCCCAACACCAAAACGGGAACTCACTGATACCAATATATGTTTCTGGAACTGGCATCAGTGAGGTTTCTGATCTTTCTCCCCAGCCGCTGGACGCCGGGATGGAGGAGGCAGGGTGGCTGGTGCCTATTTCCTGGGGGGTAATCTTCACAGAGGTCCTCCCCAGGACTGTACGGAGGAAGATTCAGAACTTACTGCTGAGCTTCTGTGGAACTAGACCCAGCCTGTGAGAAATCACATGAGGCCCAGGTTC